TCCCTCCAGATCACAATTTCTTCAGCATTTGGATGAGGTGGAGGGGAAGATTTTAGCCAATCTGGTAGGCAGAAAATTTTCATAGTCGATTTCCAGTAGGAAATATTCCTGGATAATGAGCGGGGGTTGTGTAGCACCTGGTGCAAAGAGGATGGTGGTATGTGGAAGTCCAATGTCCATTCCCAAAACTTGATGGCGTTGTTTTGGAAAGTAGTGGACAGGGTTTTGAAAAGATTGTAGATGAAGGAGATGCCTTTTAGCTTTGATTGACGGGAAGTGTAGAAATGATTGAAGTTGTCAGCGAAATGCGTAGGAGACCAGATTATTGGTGCAAGGATCTGCTGTATGCGGAGGTAGAGATAGAAATCTTGTTTCGGGATCTGAAAAGTGGCAGACAGGGTTTGGAAGGTGTGAAGATTCTGGTGTGAGTACAGTTAACCTATAGAGGTTACCCCTTTGGTGGTCTAGACATGTATAGGTAGGTTTGGAGATAGTAATGTCAAGGACATCAATGGTAGATGTTCTAATATTCATGTGGATATACCTTGATTTGATTGTTGAATAGAGCACTATACTTTCGTCGTAGCTTTGTTAGTGACCAGGAAAAAGTGGGGTGCGTGAGGATGGAGCCACAAGGCATTGAGGAATAGTTGTGGTTCCGCAGGTAGTAGAGTACTTTCAATCTGCTTCCAGTTGTTAGAAATTTTTGGGTTCCCCCAAGCTTTGGTTTGATCAAGAATGGCGGCTTTATAGTAGGTTTTGAGGTCCACTGCACCTATTCCTCCAATCTTGGTTGGAAGATATAAAACAGACTGATATATTCAAGGTCGTTTATGTTCCCAGATGAAAGAGTTTAGGATTTTTTGTATTTTGTTGATGTGATAGGAGAGTATAGGGACCAGGAGAGTTCTGAAAAGGAATAAAACGTGTGGTAGGAGGAACATTTTAGTGAATGCTATTCGTCCTGCCCATGAGGTTTTAGTCCCTTTTTAAGTTGGAGATAATTTGTTGTAGTTTTGTGTTCAGGAGTTCCACATTGGTACGTAATAGAGCAGAGGAGGGGGAGGTTAACTGTATCCCTAGATATGAGAACATTGAGTTGTGTGCCCATGAGAAATGTGCTTTCTGTGAGATCTCCTCTTTAATGGCATGCGTAAGGTGGATGCCAATCATTGCTGATTTAAAGTGATTAACCTTATAAAGTGAGACTCGTCTGAATTCTTCTAGTATCTAAAGTAACGCGGAGATAGATTGGGAAGGGTTGGATAAAGAGACAATAATATCATCTGCATAGAGGCCTATTTTATGAGAGACCGACCCTATATTAACACCAGTGATTAGTGCATTGGCTCTGATTGTGGCAGCAAGGGGCTCGATTACCATGGCAAAGATAGAAGCGGGGATAATGGGCAGCCTTGCCTCGTACCATTAGTGATATGAAGTTAGTCTGATAAGTAGCCCCCTGTCCAGATTTTAACTGTGGGAGAGGAATGGAGGCCCATGATGGCCTGAAGAAAGGTACCCGTCAGCCCAAACTTTATCAGGACTTGCTCCAAGTACTTCCAATGCACCCTATCGAACACCTTCTCTGCATCCAAAGAGATGAACAGAGAAGGCATCCGACAATGTTCAGTCCACTAAAATAGGTCTATAAACCTACGTGTGCCGTCCGAGGTTTGTCGGCTTGGGATGAACCCGACTTGATCAGGGTGGATCAAGGATGGGATGTGGGTAGCCAAACGGGAGGCTAAGAGTTCCTCGTAGAGTTTTAGGTCAGTGTTGAGTAATGAAATAGGTCTGCAGAGCTCTTTTTATTGGCTGCTTATTCAAGTTCTCCAATACTGACTTGGCTTTAGCTAATTTCTACCAAACACAGTCTATGTTTTTGAATATTTTGGGATTAAATGAAGATGGAGATATGGGTACTGGATGGGGCCTGCAAAATTTGGCGTTGTGGTTTTGAAGTGTTTTGTACACTCTGTTTTAGAACAGTGTGGTGCTGCAAAAAAAGAAGCTCACAAACTGTACTATTAAACACTTTTGCCACGGACCAATTTGAGGACCCCTGCTTTATTTTTCACTTTCAATAAATTTTTATTGAAACATTTTCAAAGTATAGCATAAGAGATCATCTAAAGGTGAGCAAAATGGCTGCTAGTTGTGGAAATGATTGCCATAAGTGATGAAAGACCATACATATGTAAAATGAACATGCATAGAAATTCCAGCAACAAACTAATAACAGGAAGAAGGTCCATTTACATCACACCAGAAATCAAACAGTACCTGTATGTGGACCATAAGAACTGTTGAATCCAACAGTAACAATAAATGAAGAATGAGAGGTGGAATAAAGAAGAAAGAGAAGAAAAGCTCCACCACTGAGAGGCATAAGGAAATGATAATGAGAGATAAAGGACAAGTAAGGTAAAGAAAAGGGAAGAAGGGGACATCAAAAACATCCAGGCCTGGAAGTCCTTAGTGCAAGAAATTTTTTATGTCTATCTAAGAGTATGCTCATAAGCTTTTCATTGATAAAGAAGACAAAGGATCACTCTGTCGGCACACTTCTGTGAAATGGGTAAATTGCTGTTTCCGTGCCTTGGCTATGGTCTGTTTTGCCACCAGAAGGACATAAATTGCCAGTCAGGATTGAGATTTAATAAGATTAGACACACACACCTATATATATAGTGTATATATGCAAATCTCTACAATTTGCTAGATGTTTATCTATGTTTTTGTGCATATACGTTGTAACTACGTAGTGTAAAGGTTGGAAATTGTGTTTTTGCTCAATTCTTTTTTCTCTCTATCTTTTTTTCATTAATTTTAAACTTTAGTTGTCCCTAAAAACAAACATGACAGCACATATCTACTTTTTGCACACGATTAGGGAGTTCTCACAGTAATAGTTGCATTGCATAGATACACCGTATGGAAGCCAAAATACGATTGTAAATATGATTTGCTATTGTGCTGCTTACAAAACCGTTTTTTTCATGCTATGTTAAAATGGTAAGTACAATGTAAACCTTTTAAATGTAATAATTTTTAAATGTTTTAAACTTCTGTAAAATGCTTTCATTCGTTAGTGTTCCACCTATATTCTATGTTATATTATTGTATTTAAATTGGTTGGTAATGTAGGAAACCAAACTTACCAAGGCTCCTAGGAACTCTCTTTTTCTAGCTGCATCAAAGGCCAGCAATGACACTTAAGGAACACTTTCCTTCCTGTTATAACTTTAGCTTCTGACAATAAAAATAAAAACGCGTAAGCTTGCCGTTAAATATTCATGCAAATCTTTATCTGAATTTTCAGCCAGGTCAGGAAATGGGGGAGATTAGCATGCTGCACCTGGACCACACTAGGTCACATACCCTCAACATGAGGGGATTCCTCCCCAGGGGGCCTAGCACAGCACCTTGTCCCCATGCTGCTGAGGACAAGTACCTTTTCCCTACAACCCTGGTGTGGTACTTGTGAAGGTCTGGGGTTGGGGGAGGCTTATTAGAGTATTTAAGCCTCCTTAAAATAAGGGCACACCCAGATACCGGCCCTCTTATGTGAATGAGTAAGGGGTACCCCCCAAGGTACCCCCCCACACACACACACCATGAGGGCGTGTGGTCCAGTATGGTTCATTAGGACATTCTACATGCTTGTCTACCCCTTTTCTGGTCTTTCCTCCAGGGGTCTGTTCAGATAAGGCTCTGGCATGGATATTTAGGGAGGACCTCACACTTTTTTTCTTAATTCTTGTATGGGGCTCCCTCTACAATCTATACAAGACCCAAAGGGTCTACTATAGAATTTTAGTGGAACCTCATGCCTTTTTTTATTTTGCATGGGGTCCCCTTCATAAAATACCAAATTGGTTTAAATTAGGGGGGAACTTCATGTGGGAGTATCCCATTAAAATCTATACCAGACCCTCATCTAGGATAAGGGTCTCGTATAGATGAGTTGAAACCACAGCTGCTTTGTTTACAGACAATGCAAAGTGTCCAGGAGCTGGCAATTTTTAACAAACTTTTTCCTTTGTAAATGTCTGTTTCTTAGTATGTTGTATGCATTGCATAGATATGTCACTTCACCGGCAGGGTAAGGGCATTCCCCAGACATGTTATTTAATGAGGTTCTCTATTTTTAATGTTTCACTTTAACCATTACTAAAATTTGTTGGACAGTCCCTTGCCTATTAGCCTAGAAAATGGCCATTACTGTCTTTTAACCTTCAGATTTAATTCAAAGGGGTTTGGATTCAGCACCTGAATTTTAGCAAAGTGTGTCAAATCTACCTTAAACCGAACCCAGGTATGTTTGTCTTATCTCTACTCTCTAGTGAATCACCCATAAATGTGCATGCTAGCTCATTGTGGCCTTATTGCTGAATGTTTATGTGCTTGCATATAAAATGCTTTTATTTACGTCGACATCAATATAACATCTATTAACATTTCATATTAGTACAAAAAAAAAAGCGCGATAAAAGCTTATATGAAATTATGTGTATATGTCTATTATCCAACAGAATTATAACTCCAATAATCATTGCTTACTGAATTGTTCTTGTCTAAAAATACATTTATTGTGTAGAAAAAAGTTAGCTAATTATAGTACATCACATTAATTATTTCACATTATTATCTATAATAAACTTAGAACAATTAGTAGCACAAGCAGTAGACTACAAACAGCTGCTTTACTGTAATGTTAAAATGCAATTACCATATTTTAAGAAACACAAATAATAAATGATATCATTCAGAAAACAAAGATTAGTATAAAATAACCAAAAATCAATCTTCACACCCCTACACAAATGAAAAATGAAATAGATAAATAAATGAATTTAAAAAAATAAAATAAATAAATATATATATATACCCGTATTTTTCGCTCCATAAGACGCACTTTTTTCCCCAAAAAATATGGGGGAAAATGTCTCTGCGTCTTATGGAGCGAATATTGACCAGTCCTCCACCTGTCACCGCCGCCGTGTTAGTGCCAGCGGCTGTCCCATCCCAGTGCAGCCTGTCCCCTCCTACTGCAGGCTGTCACCGAAGTTCACCTTGCCCTCTCTCAGCGGGCTGTCCCCGCAGCTCTTCATAGCAGGCAGTCCCCTCACCGAACCCAGCCAGCTTGCTCTGCAGTCCGGTCTGCCCTGCAGGCGTGGCCTGTCCTCGGAGCTCGTCCCCGCTCCTGGCATGTCTATGTACTGAGCTCCCAGCTCTGCAGTCCGGTCTGCGGGTGTGGCCTGTCCTTACAGCGCCTCCTCTTTCCTGGCATGTGTCCATAGTGTGCTCCCTGCTCTACAGTCCGGTCCTATCTGCTGGTGTGGCCTGTCCTCGGAGCTCAGTGCGCCCCCTGCCTTCTGTAAGTTAAAATGACAGATGCTGGGAGTTGTAGTCCTTTTCCTTGGTGTATGGTGTCAGATCATTTGATATTCTGGGTGGAGGGGCCCTGTTGGGACTTTATATGATGTAGTATGTCCGCAGTCTCTGGTCATCTCCTGTACTGTGTCCGCAGTCTCTGGTCATCCCCTGTACTATGTCCGCAGTCTCTGGTCATCCCCTGTACTGTGTCCGCAGTCTCTGGTCATCCCCTGTACGGTGTCCGCAGTCTCTGGTCATCCCCTGTACCGTGTCCGCAGTCTCTGGTCATCCCCTGTACCGTGTCCGCAGTCTCTGGTCATCCCCTGTACCGTGTCCGCAGTCAGTCTCTGTACATTGTCATCCCCTGTACCGTGTCCGCAGTCTCTGGTCATCCCCAGTGTACCGTGTCCGCAGTCTCTGGTCATCCCCTGTACTCTGTGTCCGCAGTCTCTGGTCACCCCCTGTACTAGTGTCTGCAGTCCGCAGTCTGGTCATCCCCTGTACTGTGTCCGCAGTCTCTGGTCACCCTCCTGTACTATGTCCGCAGTCTCTGGTCATCCCCTGTACTGTGTCCGCAGTCTCTGGTCATCCCCTGTACTGTGTCCGCAGTCTCTGGTCATCCCCTGTACTGTGTCCGCAGTCTCTGGTCATCCCTGTACTGTGTCCGCAGTCTCTGGTCATCTCCTGTACTGTGTCCGCAGTCTCTGGTCATCTCCTGTACTGTGTCCGCAGTCTCTGGTCATCTCCTGTACTGTGTCTTCAGTCTCTGGTCATTTTCTGTACTATGTCTGCAGTCCATTGGTTCAGAATATTTTTTTCCCCAGTCACACACATAAAAAATTATATATATATATATATATATATATATATACACACATACACAATAGCATCCTGCTGACTCTACCAGTGATATCACCCCATCATGTACAAATAAATAAACAATAAGTGCATTAGTATACATGGAATCATAAATAAAGTGAAAACACATCATGATAAACAATGAACAATGGTCCATACCTGCCATTTTATAGTAAAGTGTTTCTAAGCCCAGAACCCTACATTCACTATATTTGGTCTCCCATAGTACACAGAACATTGAAATGCAATTATTTTTGCAAATATAAACTACTGGATACATTTTATCATCAGTAGTTGTGTCTTGTGACTTCTATCAGTGTTCAGCTGAGCACTGGTTAACGCTTGTAGTAGGTGTTTTCATTCTCCTTTCACTGTGAGATTGCATAACCCTCTATCTGGACAACGCTGATTGGCCCTGTGCTGATCACATGCACCTTGCAAAGAAAAAGGAAAAACCATCAGGAGATAAAATGGGGAACGTGGCAGAAGGGAAGGATCAGAGGAGACAGGATCAAACATCCTTTTTGCACAATGCAGAAGATTAACCCCTTAAGTTCCACAGTGAGTTTAACAAACATGCTTTACTGCATATACAGACTGATTTTACTGTTGTTTAGTAACACTTTAAATGTGAAAGTTCAAAGTCACAGTGCCTGGTATATGTGAAATATGTGCTGTACGTAAATAATCAATTCCCTTCCAAACCGTAAATTGTGTTAATACACTTCACTGGTGGTGATTAAACTCCCATAAAGTGCATTCCTCTCCTGTGACTCTCCAAACTGCTTACCTTACAACTATGACCTTGCTGCTAAAATGTGGTAAAAAAGAAGCATGTATCCCCTCAGGGGATGATATTGTAGCTATGGTCTCTTCTACAGAACTCCTGTGGAAGATGATATGTGCCAGCTTGAATGTTATTGCTTGTTTTTGCACTGATTATTTTGACTTTCAGTTGAGACTCAACATTTTATACAAAATTTTACAAAAAATTGCACTGTATGCAATGTTTCTTTAACCACCTTCCCGCCCGCCCTATAGTACAATGACGGGCGCAAGGTGGTGCTCTCGTTCTGATAGGACGTCATATGATGTCCTACCATTCTCACTGCGCATGCGTGGCTCAGGGAGCATGCAGCGTGGCGATCGCCAGTCCACTGTGTCCCTCGGACAAAGCGGATCACAGAAAGAGCCGAAGATGTCGGCTCGGTCATGTGATCAGCTGTGTCCAATCACAGCTGATCACATGTAAACACGGAAATGCCGGTTATCGGCATTTCTCTCCTCTCGAGCTGTCACGCTGACAGCTCGAGAGGAGAGCCGGTAATCGGCTTTCCGCGGAGGGGACATGTACACTGATCATCAGGGCACTGATGATCAGTGTGCCCTGATGATCAGTGTGGCCCCAGAAGTGCCACCTGTCAGTGCCCATCAGTGCCAGTGCCCATCAGTGCCAGTGCCCATCAGTGCCACATCAATGCCACATATCAGTGCCCATCTGAGCTGTCTTTCAATGTCACCCATCAGTGCCAGTCAGTGCCACCTATCAATGCCAATCAGTGCCACCCATCAGTGCTGCCAATCAGTGTTGCCTATCAGTGCCAGTCAGTGCCGCCTAACAGTGTCAGTCAGTGCTGCCTATCAGTGCTGCCTATCAGTGCTGCCTATCAGTGTCATGTATCAGTGTGTCATGTATCAGTGCTGCCTTTCAGTGCCAATAGTGATGCCTGTCAATGCCCATCAGTGCAACCTACCAGTGCCCATCAGTGCCACCTATCAGTGTCCATCAGTGCAGCCTATCAGTGCCCATCACTGCAGCCTCATTAGCGCACATCAGTGAAGGAGAAAAATCACTTATTTACAATATTGTATAACAAAAACTAAGAAAAAAGGTGTTTTTTTTTCAAAATTTTCAGTGGTTTTTGGTTTAAGAAAAAATAAAAATCCCAGAGGTGATTAAATACCACCAAAAGAAAGTTCTATATGTCTCACAAAAATGATAAAAATGTCATGTGGGTACAATGTTGCATGACCGCGCAATTGTCATTCAAAGTGTGACAGCGCTGAAAGCTGGAAATTGGCCTGGGCAGGAAGGGGGCATAAGTGCCCTGTAGGCAAGTGGTTAAAGTTGATTTCTGAACAAATACAGAAAAAAATATAATGAGTGTCTTTGATGTATTCCTACTTTATGCTATGTGTATTGAACAGGCAGACTTGTGGCAAGTTTCTATGCTAGCCAGAAGCAACACACGCTTATTAATATAGTTAATAAGGTTAACAAAACACTTGTACAAGTTCAACTTCTCACATCTCTTACAGCTTTGGTCTAGAAGAAGGCAAATGCAAACTCTCTTAAAGGAGAAGCACAGCCTAAGATTTTGGCTGTACTTCTGTGAATCACAGAAGTGCAGTTCGTTCTGCATTCCTGTGACCAATTTTCAGCCGACAGCGGGTTGAAGCCGGCTGTCAGCTGACATCACTCAGCTGATCCAAGCTGGGGAAAGATCCCGACTTCAAAGTTGGGATCCACCCCAGATTCTGGAGTGGCACCTGGCTCAAACTCTCAGCGAGCCGCTGAGAGCCTGAGCCCCCTCTTCCTGCCCCTGCACAGCCCAGCGCTCCATTGAGTGCTGGGGGGGCAAAGCAGACAGTGGTGACTGACAGTCCCGCTCTCTGTTCAGAACGGCTGTGAGAACTCAGAGATCAGCAGTCATGTGATCACTGAGTTCTCACACTTAGAGCAGGCTGGGGACATATGCAGAATGCTGCATCCACCTAGGTAAGTATAATGGGGGAAAAAAAAAAAGTCTACAGTTCTGTTTTAAGTATTTGCCGCAAAGTGAAGTCAGATCACTTCCCTGAAACATCTCCTTGTCCCTAGTTGTGTTTAATGGTTTCTCTCACCAGCTGGTCCCTTTTGCATTTATTGGTTCCTCCCATTGACCCAGTGTCTGTTTCTAAGCAGATGCCAGGAGATGATTTCTATTTAACAGAACAATGTTCTTCTGGTTCAGGCAGCAATAGAGCTAAGTATTTCCTTTCTTCTTTATTCAGTTTTTCATTTGTTTTATGTATTCTCCATTCAACTGCCCATGTTTCTTTTTGTCAAAATCATTCTATTTTTAAAGCAAATTTTATTGAGAAATATTTTAGTACAACCATTGTCAAGATTATACTAGATAATTTGTGAAAAAGCTCACACTGTGTCAAAAGTTGGTGCTCAAGTTTAGTTGAATATATATGTATACAGTATGTATATATATATATATATTGTGGGAACTCGCTTCAACTGGTAGAGCTTTTCTTGTTTAAGCACACAGCAACTCGCTTCTTTAAGGGCTTTTTTGCCCACTTTTATTTAAAGAAAGTTCAAATAACACAAATGCTTCCCACGCAGGGGTATCCACCATCAAGAAATACCAACAAAGATTCAGCCTCCTGGCTTGTACACAGTTCACTGTCTGTCTCCTGCAGACTCTTCCCAAAGTATGGCCACTAGCACACAGCTAGTCTGGCTTTCACCTGACTCCAAGGCAGAGACCTCCTGTCTGCCGGGGTGGAGCCCTCCTGACTCCGTCTGCCATGGTGGAGCCCAGAACTATGGTCAGGACTCTATAAAAAGGCCTGCACACACCTGTGCAATCAGTGTGCTGGGGGTTCTCAAAACACGGACCCCGGATTGGAGATTTCATCCCTCCCAGATCTCTTTGAAATCTCCAGGCTCCAGATCCCAAAACAAACTTAATGAATAAATGAGGAAACCGAAAAGTCAGTTTCCTCTGCAATACATTAACTCTCTGGAGCCCCTCAACCTGCCTGGTTGAGAATCCAGGGTTTTCAACTTGAGTTTGACCGTGGCAGGACACCGCACTGCCACAATATATATATACATACATATATAGTTGTGTTCAAAATAATAGCAGTCAGACATCACTAACCTGATAAATCACTGTTTTTGGTAGAAATGATAATTCTACATGGCAAATAATTTACTAGCAGGTGTAGTAGAGTAATATAAATCCAACAGACTCAACAGTCATGACATGCATGCTGTTGACTCTGTGCAATTGAATCACTAATTGAAAGGGGCATGTTCAAAATAATAGCAGTGTGGAGTTCTATTAGTGAGGTCATTCATTCTTTGAAAAACATGTGGCAATTATTGCCCTTATTTAAGGAAGGAAGGCAGCAAATGTTGTACATGCTGGTTACAGGGCATTTCTCTCTGAAATTCTGAGGAAAATGGGTCGTTCCAGACATTGTTCAGAAGAACAGTGTACCTTGATTAAAAAGTTGATTGGAGAGGGGAAAACATATAAAGAAGTGCAGAAAATGATAGGCCGCTCAGCTTAAATGATCTCAAATGCTTTAAAATGCCAACCAAAACCTGAAAGACTTGAAAGAAAGCGAAAAACTACCATTCGAATGGATAGAAGAATAGCCAAAATGGCAAGGACTCAGCCAACAATCAGCTCCAGGAAGATCAAAGAAGGTCTAAAGTTACCTGTGAGTACTGTTACAATTAGAAGACGCCTATGTGAAGCCAAGCTATCTGCAAGAAGCCCCCGCAAAGTCCCACTGTTGAAAAAAAGACATGTGCTGAAGAGGTTACAATTTGTCAAAGAGCACATTGACTGGCTTAAAGAGAAATGGCGCAACATTTTGTGGACTGATGAAAGTAAGATTGTTCTTTTTGGGTCTAGTGGCCGGAGACAGTTTGAAGACAGTGAAGCATGGTTGCTCAAGCATCATGATATGGGGATGTTTCTCATACTACGGTGTTGGGCCTATTAAGTGATTCAAAGGAAAGCAAATTCTTCAAACATTTTTCAGTTTATATAGTGAATGTTTGAGTTTGTAAAGAAGAATACAAACACTGCTATTTTTTTTTGAACAGTCTAATATTCACCTTTCTTCAACTGTTTTAGAGGAACAACACAAATTTGATATAGTTTAATTCATGTTTTGATTTGGAATAGAATGTGTAGTGTTCCCAATGCATTTGTGTATGGAAATAAAAGCTATTAGAAGGATTTTGAGCTTTATTCACTTTTCAACACACTGCTATTATTTTGAACACAACTGTATATATTTGACATTACAGAGCAGAAATGATATGCTGTTTATAAAAATGATTAACATAGTTACATAGCTATTACAATTTTCCATACCATTCCCTGGATGAGGGAAGACATTGGAGATATAGTGAGCTTTTATCTCAAATTAATGGGGAGGGAAAAGTTAAGTAACAACCAGAACATAACCTGTTGATATGGAACAGAGGGGATGATAAGTGAGCTGGGTTGTAATTCACTGTTAAATATACTCTTGAGACTGGTAGGTGTTGAAAAAAGAACGGTAATGTATATTAGTACATGCACAAAAACTTGTGAACTGATCAATTCATGCCTAAGAGATGGATTTCATGTAATCCCCACATTTTGTCTGAAAGTGAGAAGAATCCAGTCGAGAGTTCAGTTTAGCATCACATTTCTCATTTAGGTAGGTATATTAAATAGCAGCTTTAAAATCAGTAATAGTACAAGCATGAGCAGAGCTCTATTTGCTGGTAATGGAGTATCTGGTTGCAAGTAGGCAGATATGCATCCATTTAGGAATTCGAAGGATGGAGGTAGAGGAGGGATGGGCTCAGGGGCGGACTGACCATTTGGAAACTCGGGCACTGCCCGAGGGCCTGGGGTCAGTAGGGGGCCCCATGAGATGCCCCTGGTTCCATTTTCATAGGCTTTTTTGAGTTTGGGCAAGGACACAGGGGCCCCATGATCCCCTATTGCCCGGGGGCCCCATGAGTTGTCAGTCCGCCCCTGGATGTGCTAAGAAGTCCCCAAAAAGAAGGAGAGGGTCTTGAGATGGAAGAAGGTGAGTGACTAAAACAATGTACACTCTCCCTTGGTTCTAGAAGCCAGTTGTTGGTTGACAGGTCCAAAACATATGCTTGATGCATTATTTTGAATTATGTTTCTTTCCATGTTTCACTACCCATTGGAGAGGTTGTAGTATGATATTCCTTAAGCAGTTTGTTCACCATATGATCAGAACTAAAATCCTTGGCCCATTTTCTAATAGTAGACACCTCTAAGTTTTTGGTAAAGAAGAGGGGGTTATATGGCTGAGATAAAGAAGGCTGCAAGTCCTTCCTAATTTTTCTAATGTACAATTTCAAATAGCTGGTGATTTGATGAAAGTGGAGTGCATGGTTAAGTGAGAGGCCATATGTCAGGGCTCCCTGTAAGACCAGAGATGCGTGAACTGACACAGGGAAACGCAGGCTCAAGTATGGTGTAAATATAATTTATTAAGGGTTATACACAAATATAACGCACAATATAACAAAACCAAACCTCCAACTGATAACGGAATGTACACAGATAAGAGCAGTCAGGGCTGGTGAGGTGGAGTGGTCAGGCGGGCCGGGTCAGGAATCATCTGGCAGACAAGACACAAAGGAGTAGGCAGAGCGTAGTCAGACGGGCCGGGTCAGGAACAATCAGGCAGACAAGGTACCAAAGGTGCAGGCTGGAGAGTGGTCAGGAATAGCCGAAGTAAGGACAGGTGGAGTTCATTCAGGGTCAGGATCAAGCAGAATCAGGAATCAGG